TTTATAATATTTGAAAACAATAATGCAATTACAGTCATACTTCAAATACGACATGATCGGTTTATCATTGGAATTAGCATCTAGAACTTATTTATTAGAGAAATAAAGTAATTGCTGATTAATAAATTTTATATTATTCGTTCACACAGCGGACAGCTGTAATATAACAATCTTAAATAATTTCATTAACACTAGCAATGAATAAACTGCACAGATGTCCATTATAAAGTATATATGTACGAGTATATAAATGTTACACAGCTACACAAACTATTGTTGTGCCTGATCTCTGATTTAGAGTAATAAACCTGAATATCAAGTTATTCTTCATTATGTATAAAAATATGCAACTTTGCAATACTTAATAGCCATCATAAACGAAAAACATGTAGACTTTCTCTAATCTTCCAAAAGTGTCTGAGATATAATTCTGAAAAAGATATATGTTTGGCATGTTAGAATAAAGCTGTACTGCTTTAATATTTTGTAATATCTATAAAAATGCAGATAAATATTATGTTAAACAACGCCTAAATAAATATTGTTATCACAATTTCACTTGTCATTTAATTGTTATATAGGTATATAAAATCATTACATACTTAATCTAAACTGGACCTAATGCTAGAAATGTACCCACCAACGATAAAATTACTTCATAATGATTTTAATTGTATGTTTCATCACAACACGTTTAGATACATTGTATGTTACTACAGACCTTTCGAATTTAATTAATTTAAAATATGCGAATGGCAAAGCAAGACTCCTGAAATTTGAAGATTTGGTAATCGTAGTGCGAATATTTGTCTTATACATCATTTTGAATTAGGTATTATCGTTTAGGAAAAAAATCAAATATTCACGTATTTGTCGTAATAATTTTTTTAAAGATTTAAGAAAGGATTGAAAGGAAGAAATATTTAATGATTGAAAACGAATTCATCTGTAAGCTGGTCGATTTCATGGACAAACAAACCTTAGTAAATTTAAAATACTAGTAAAACATGCTTAAGTTTATAAATATAGACAAGAGTAAAACACAGTTTAAATAATGGATTAACTTAATGACAAAAAATTTAAAACTACTTGTTTTAATTGTTGAAAGTGATTTTTATATTAATATATTTAAAACTGCTTATTTTCAAGTTTTTAAATTCCTAATACTACCTAGTAACATCTCATTTTCATTCTTAAAAATATTAGAAGAATTTACAGATTTTATAATAATGTATTTGAAAATATTTAATATTCTTCGAACATTACGGTACGGAAAGTTTCAGCAATTTGCCTTAAGGCACAATGCCATACACCACTAGTTAACTTCCCGTAGGGCGAGTTATAATAATCGCAAAAAATCGAAAGTGACAATTTTTATATATCTTTACGTTTCAAAACCTTGTGAATATTTTGGCATTCCTTAGAAAAAAATGGATGTATGTGTGTGTGTGTATGTTTGTGTGTGTATGTGTGTGTGTGTGCGTGTATGTGTGTGTTCGGATACAAATTTTTGTCGACGATTTGAGTAATTCAAAAAACATTCGATTTGTAATGATAAGGAGACATGCTGATTAGTTTTTGGCGAAAGCAGGTCTAGCCGTTCTGAAGATATGGGGCAAAAGGTGCCAAAAACGATAACTCAGTTTTTAAGAGAACGGAGGGTCCGATTTGAAAAATTCAGAAAGCATTTTACTTGTATTAACAAGATGAAGATCTGATCAATTTTTTATGATGGCAGGTCTAGCAGTTTCGGAGATCTAGTAAAAAAAGTAAAAGAAAATGCCATTTGGCGGTCAAAAATGATCATTAGATATATGCACATCAAATTATCAGATATTTTATAGAGATTTTAACCATAAGTATAAATTTTGTTTACATTCCTATGGTTTCGCTCCAATGTTTATCCGTTGGACGGCGACGCGGCGCTTACACGTTTTGATATTTCGTACCTATACTTTTAAAGCAGTACGCTTACTATGAAAAAATGTTCTGAATGTCCAAAATATTTCAAAACTAGCTGTAAGTGGAATTCTGTCTTAAGGCATTAAGGCATCGTGCCTTAAGGCAAATTGCTGGAACTTCCCGGACCAAAAATTATTTTTTTAAAAACGATTAACATTTTTGAAAAAATTTTACTTTGAAAAAATAAGATTTTTGAGAAACTATAAATTGGATAAAGAATTACGTTTTTTTTGAAAAAAAAATTTAAAAAAAAATATTTTGACATATTTTGGAAGATTTTCAATGCAATCGTACTGCTTTAACTGCATAGAGACCATTTATAAAGCGCGTAAGCGCCGCGTCGCTGTCTAACGGATAAACATTGGTACGGAACCCATAGGAATGTAAACAAAATTTATACTTATTGTTAAAATCTCTATAAAATATCTGATAATTTGATGTGCATATATCTAATGATCATTTTTTACCGCCAAATGGTATTTTTTTTTACTTTGTTAGATCTCTGAAACCGCTAGACCTGCCTTTATGAAAATTTGATCAATTATTCATCTTGTCAATACGAGTAAAATATTTTTTGAATTAGTAAAATCGGACGCTCCGTTCTCTTAAAAACTGAGGTACCGTTTTGCGCACTTTTTGGCCCATATCTTCGGAATGACTAGACCTGCCTCCGCCAAAAACTAATCAGCACGACTTCTTATCAATACGAATCGAATGTTTTTTGAATTATTCAAATTGCTTCATCCGTGTTCCCGAAATCGTCGACGAAAATTTGTATCCGCACACACGTACATACACGCGCGCACACACACACACGCACATACATACATTTTTTCTAAGGTATGCCAAAATATTCAGAAACCTCTGAAACGTAAAGATACATAAAAATTTTCATTTTTGATTTTTTTGCGATTACTATAACTTACCCTACGGGAAGTTAATGAATTTTTCTTCAAAAATTCTTTTTTTTTTCAAAAAAAAGTAAATTTTTGTCAAAAATCTAGTTTTTTAAGAGTATTTTTTTATGAAAAATGTTAATCTTTTAAAAAAAAATAATTTTTGATACGGGAAGTTCCAGCAATTGGCTTTAAGGCACGATGCCATACGCCCCACTAGATTAACTTTTTTTATTACCTTCTCGTAGGGTAAGTTATAGTAATCGCAAAAAAAATCGAAAATGAAAATTTTTGCACATCTTCACGTTTTGAAGGTTTCTGAACATTTTGGTATACCTTAGAAAAAATGGATGTATGTGCGTGTGTGAGTGTGTGTGCATATTTGGATACAATTTTTCATCCACAATTTCGGGCGCACGAATTAATCGATTTGAATAATTTGAAAAACATTCGATTCCTATTGATGACGTGTTGATTAGTTTTGGAAAAAAACAGGACTAGCCGTTTCGAAGATATAGGGCAAAAAGTGCCAAAAACGGTAATCCAGTTTTTGAGGGAACGGAGCACGCAATTCGGATGATTCAAAAAACATTTTGTTTGTATTGACGAAGTGATGAACTAGTAAAACTTTTTGGAATGCAGATCTAGCAGTTATGGAGACGCAGAGAAAAATGTAAAAAAACGATATTTGACGGTCTAAAAATCATTAGACCTTGCGTGCTCTTCACATTAAATTATCAGATATTTTATAGATATTTTAATAATAAGAACAAATTTTGTTACAAATTTTCATGAGTTCCGTACCAAGATTTTTAATTTTTAAAGTTCACTTATACGGCTCAAACAAATTTCAAAACCTTCTGATTTTTTTTTTCAAAATTTACAAAAATATACAAAGTCTTACATTACTTTTCACTTTAAATATGAATTTTAAATTTATAATTCAGTAACTCTTCACATTAAATTATCAGATATTTTATAGATATTTTAATAATAAGAACAAATTTTGTTACAAATTTTCATGAGTTCCGTACCAAGATTTTTAATTTTTAAAGTTCACTTATACGGCTCAAACAAATTTCAAAACTTTCTGATTTTTTTTTCAAAATTTACAAAAATATACAAAGTCTTACATTACTTTTTACTTTAAATAGGAATTTTAAATTTATAATTCAGTAACTGTATATATTTCATATGCTTTATTCTACTCGTAAAAAATATTTCCTCAGCTAGATTCATTCAGCATTTCTTCTTAATGTAAACAGTTTCAAGTGTTTCGAGTGATGAGATCGTCACTGTATATTATATGAATGAATAAATATATAGTTATTACAATTATCTCTTTGAAAACATTTAAAGCAATTGTTATTAATCATCGATCAATATTTATTGATTATTAATTTTTTTGCTCGAATATTTGATTGTGGTGCGGGAATTTCCAGCAATTTGCCTTAAGGCACGATGCTATACAACACTAGTTTGTATTTTAAAAATGTATTTTATTTAAGTATGGACGTCAATGGTAATTCGTAGCTACCTACGAAACACAAAACCGAATATGCTCGGCGTTGATGCCAAGCGCGGCGTTTCCAAACTTTTATAATTTTACTACGTATCTTAATCTTACAATATTTCTGTATATTAGTTTAGATTAGACGATAAATTTTCTCACAATACAAAGTTTTATCAAAATCTTAAAAAAAAATTCAACAATTAATTACGAAGAAATATCCTGGCCGATTTTTACAAAAAAACTTATCAGCACGAATTACAATTGATGTCATTCGAAGACTTTTTAAATTTTTCGAAAATCGTTTCAGCATGTTTTGTGAACTCGTTGAAGAAAATTTGTGCACTTTTCTGCAAATTTAAAAGGAAGGTCTCGGCCGAAATTGCAAGTTGAAGCCGTTTTTGAGAAAGCGTGAACTAAAAATAAAAATGTTCACAAGCACAACACTCATACACACATATTTTTTATATTTGGGGTCAAAGAACACTAATTCTCTTAAAACGTCGAAAAAACAAAGCTAGACAATGGATTATCGGATAAAAACTAGCATCTTCTTTAGAATGTTAAAAACTTGCACGAATCAAATATTCACTGACAGAAATTAACATTTTAAAAATAATTATTATTTTCAGGTCAATACTCGTTAGTGGAAGCTGACGGTTCCGTCCGCACCGTCGACTACACCGCCGACAAACACAACGGATTCAACGCGATCGTTCACAGGACACCGGCACATCACGATCACGGAGAAGGACATTATTAGAATCGACAAAAAATCCGACTGCTACCAAATAATTTAGTTGATATGAAAATTCAATATATTCTGTATGCTTGTTAGACTGAGTTGAATATACATTTACAAAAAAGTCTAGAAAAATATGTAAATAATCGAAGACGTTATAATGAAAACTAAAAAACACCTAAGTTTGACAAAACTGTAAAAAATTATTTGGTTAAGCCATTATTGTTATTAACACATTATAGTATGATAATAGTTCTTATAAAATATGCAGTTTGTGCTAAAATTTGCAAGCGCTTGCTAGTAATTATTTATACAAACTTACTGGTGACAATCTTTTGTTGACCATCAATTGCATTGATGGAATGTGATAACCATAAAAATATTGTGAACAGATTGGGACATTTAACACTAAAAATGGAGTAAACAATTATTAAAACCTTAATATTTCTATAGTTATAGCTATTGTTTGTCATAATGAAAAAACAACATATACATGTTCATGTGGAATGTTGCATATTATAAAATCTTAGAATTAGGTAGTGATGTTATTTATGTGCATATTTCATTAATAACAATTGAAAGACTACAATAATCCATAATATTAATTTGAAGATGTTCAAGTTATATCTTACCAGAACAATGATTTTCATACTATGATTTAATTTCTATAATCTTTGCTTTTCATTGGACATAGCAGAAATAATAAATTAGTACGTTAAGTTAATATTGTTATACATTAATATACATTTAACAATATCCATCGTTTGAAACAAATATATAATTACAAATAATATGTAGCATTTTCTCAGAAACCATCAGATATTATAGTCTTGAATTAATTATGGGCATGAACTGGAATTTAAAGTATAGTGAATTATCAATCGACATTTAGAATATATTGGATTTTCATTTGCATATCATATATGTTAATATTATATTATCGTATTAATGTAATAAAAGTATCTTTTATGTAATTAGATGTGAGTTTAATCGCTTCGCTAAATTCTTTCATTTCAGATAGACTTTCTACTACTAACATGATTCAACTAACTGCCTTTCTACCACTAACTCTATTGCGTCATTGCAAAATTTTATTTTCTACGTTCAAGTACACTTACTTGTTAAGTTTTTTTTTATTTTTTTTTTTATTTTTTTTTTATTATTATTTTCTTTTTTTATTTAATGGCCTTGCTAACTTGAGCATTTAGCCACTTACTACATTACATTATATTTTATACAATAATCAACTAAATATACTTAAAAACTAATTTTACATTCTTTCACGAAATCACATAGCAACCTATAACATTTTATGTTCTGTAATACAGTATATAAATTGAAAGGTTTAACACACTGATTTAACTTATATAACTTGTCAAACATTAGCTTCCTTTGCACTACATATCTATTACACTCCATAACAATATGCTCGCAGGTACCGCTTGCACCACCGCATGCACATTGGTCTGATTCCACAAGTTTCAACCGAAACATATGAGTTGGAAATAACCCGTGATTTAATCTCAATCTTGTAACTGTCACTAACACCCTTCTGTCTTCTTCTTTAAATTGCTCCTGCCATAGTTTTTTATCCACTACCGGTTTAATTCTTTTATAATACTGGCCACGTGTCTGAGATGAAACATTCCAATCTTTTTGCCATTCTATGTTGATCCTTTGCGATACTTTATTTAAAAAATCTTTATACATGGCAACCTTTACCTGTGGCCCATGCTCTGAAGCCCTCTTTGCTAATTTATCTGCTTCTTCATTCCCTACAATCCCAGAGTGTGCCTTGACCCATAATAATTTCACATTATGGCCCCCTTCTACTAGCCTAGCAATATTATTCCAAATTACATAATACATAATGCAGCTTTTATTGTCTGTAAATATAATCGCTTTCTGAAAATTGTATCTTTTTATTAATTCTAGTGCTTTTTTAATTGCTATCAATTCAGTCGTAAATACTGACACAAAATCAGGAAATTTATAACCTAATTTTATCTTTAAATTTTCCTGAAATACCGCACAACCAGCCATATTTTTGTATTTAGAGCCATCCGTAAAAATAAACTTAAATTCATTTAAATTATCACCATCAACATTGAAAATCTTCTCCATAATTAAAGTACAGTCTAGATGGAGAATATTATAATACGGATGCTTCGTGTACTTGACCGTGCCTGCACTAATCTCTGATACACCTATAACTATTAACCAAACTAGGAATTGTTTTTTTTTCTCCAGTACTTGCTCATTATCGTATCTATAGCAACCTTATCTATTTTATCTATTATTGGTGTATTTTGTACTAAAAGTCTCTTTATTATAAATTTGTCCCTCAGGTATTGTCTTCTGAGGTTTAACGGTAATTCACCACTTTCCACGAGTAAAGCATTGGTAGGCGTGGATGTCATTGCTCCAAGGCATATTCTTAAACTTTTATACTGCGCTTTGTCTAATTTTTTACAGTGCATGTTATTATTAAAAATTACGCATCCGTAATCTAAGTGCGGTCTAATTAGCGCTTTGTATAATTTAAGGGCAGTAATAGGATGAGCCCCCCACCATGTTCCAATCACCATCCTCAATAAATTAATATTTTTTTCGACTTTTTTAATTACATAATTAATATGCGTTTTGAATGAGAGTTTTTGATCAAAAATTATCCCTAAAAATTTATTATTTTTTCCAATTTTGATGGAATGGTTACAACTATTAATACTTGTAGGGAAATTTTTGTCCCTATGCCTTGTAAAAATACCTACCGAACTCTTGTCATCAGACAACTCAAGACCTTTTTTTGCTAGCCAAACATGAAAGTGTTCAATGTTCCGAGACATTACATCTATAGCTTCCTGGAGACTCTGTTTCTCCACGTACACTACAACATCGTCTGCGTATTGCAAAATTTTAGTACCAGGTTCCCAAATATATTCTATGTTCCTTACATACAAGGCATATAGAATTGGGCTTAAAATATCGCCTTGCGGAAGACCCTTATACATCTTTCTTGGTCCTATGATCCTATCGTTAATTTTGAAGTAAACGTTTCTCTCAAAAACTGCAGCAGTTATAGCCCTCGAAAATTTATGTGGAAGTCCTATATCATTCATGGCTTTGCTTAAAATTTCAGGAATAACATTATCGTATGCACCTTTGATGTCGCTAAACAATGCCACGACATAGTTATTTTTAGCATTAGATAAATGTAAATCAGCAGAGAAAATACTTAAGTTATCATATGTTCCAAGGCCTTTTCGAAATCTATATTGACTTGTCGGCAAAATATTATTTTTTTCTACCCACCTTTGACTTTAGCGACACATGAAGCTAGCGATATTGGTCTATATGACGATATTATACTTGGGTTTTTCTGGGCTTTCTTAATAAAAATTAATACGTAATCATTCCATTCTCGAATTTTTTCAGGTGTTAACCATACATTGTTGATAATTTCAATAAATATTTTATTGGCCGAAAATGGTAGATTACTAATCATAGAATAAAATATAAGATCCTTACCCGGAGCTGTATCCGTATTTTTCCCAAAAACTAAATTTAACTCCCATAATGAAAACGGTTTTAACAGCATATGATCTTTCAATAACGAACTGCTTTTGTAACAATTTTCAATACAAGATTCGACCCCGGCAGGGGCATAATAATCCATTACTCCTTCTCTTATTTCATGCGGTATATTTTCATTCGAATTAACAGGCTCCACAAAATTTTTAAGACGTTTGATCATTGCAAATACCTCCCTCGGTGAAATATTCGGTTTAAGATTATCCGTTAACTGATACCATTTATGTTTTTTCTTTTTCTTGAAAATTCTTCTAATATTACTGTTAATAGTATTACATACAACAAAGTTTTCATAACTAGACTTTTGTCTATATATTTTTTCCGCCTGTCTGCGCTCTCTTATTAATTTATCACACTCCTCATTCCACCATACTGGTTTAGCACATTTAGCATTCAGGTCCCCATTTTTCATCGGAATAATTTTTCTGGCCGCTGAATTAATAGCATTTATGAAAAAATCATACGCACGAACCGGGTCGTTGCTATTAAAACTCTCCAAATTTTTTCCTATCTCTGACTGGTATTTTGTCCAATCGGCTTTTTTACAATTCCAACTTGGATTATATTTTCTTGCTTTTGGCACACCTCTCAACTTCAACAAAATTGGATAATGATCCGACCCTAATGAATCATCACATACATGAACACAAAGAGATGTCAACTACTGACATATTATTTTTAAATTTTAAGGTAGGCTTTCCATTATTGAGTATATATAAATTATTGTTTTCAATAGGCTCCAACAAATTATTACCATATTTGTCACTAAAATTACTACCCCATGAAAAGTGATGTGCATTGAAATCTCCACAAAGAATAACGGGTTTGGGCAATCGCGAAAGAAAATCATTCCACTCATTTACTGAGACATAATAATTAGGTGCAACATAAATAGAAATAACGTACAATTTAAAATTTCATACCATTAAGTAAATTCCACAACTTTGGCATCTTTTTGGATCCAAAGATCCTAAATTAATTGCTACCACATTATATGGCTGGTTACGATGCACGAATATAGCCGCACCTCCTTTTCCATCATCTCTGTCCTCTCTCACTATATTATAATTTGAAAATACATAAGTTTTTTCTTTCTAAAACCAGGTTTCAGTAATAGCCAAGATTGATATATCCTGACATGACAAAAAATATTCTAAACTACTCCTATTAGACATAAATGACCTTGCATTCCACTGAAGAATTGTTACATCCATTACAGAGTTATTCTTTAAATTTGTACTTGCCATAAAATCGATTTGTATTAATTATTTATTAATTTTTTAAATGTTATTATATATACACACTATTCTTGTCATGTTCTATTAAGTATTTATTAGTAATTACGACCGAAACTAAAGACATTATTGGTGCTGATTTCCAGCTCCACCCCGCTGTGCATTCAATATCTTTTTCATTTCAAATATTAACAATTTAAATTGATTTTCATCACCCGTACTGCAAATTTCCTTCATTAATTTCATAACCTGTGCGATGTTTTTATCTGAGTCTTTATACTGCTCACTTATATTCCTAATTGACCGTTCTACGGTTACATGTTCCGAATTTGATTTAACACGCTTCCTAGGACTATACTTTGTTTCCAAATGGTTGTAAGTAACTGCTGCTGATACCAGCTCCTCCTTTTTATTCTCTGTGAAATTAGTCTTAATCTCGGACTTTCTGTTTATGGTTTTGAAACCATATCTTTTAGGTCTACTGATTGTGGCCACCTTTCCATTATCATTACGTTCTTCACCTTCCATGTCTGATAAGACGTCGAATCTATTAATGTGGTTTAACACCGGGCCTGATGTCTGTTTATAATTTGTATTGGATTTAATGACTGGAAAGTCATTATTTTTATCAAAACTAATAAAATTGGATTTAGTCTTGCTAGCATATGTATCGCGTCGAATTAAATCTCTCGCTTCATGGTAAGGTATGTTCTGCATAGCCATCATCTCCTTAATGACTTTATTTTGCATGAAAATAGGACAAACCTTGCTATTTGCTGGATGTTCTCCTTTACATAATACACATAACAATTCAGACGCATCACATTTATCTTCATTATGTTCCCCGGCGCATTTCATGCATTGCTGTTTACCCCTACATTGCTCCTTGATATGGTTGAATATACAACATTTAAAACATTGTATAATTCTAGGTATAAAAGGCCTAACTTCACATTTGACTGAATGAATAGCAACTTTATTTGGTAAGTCTGTTCCCCTGAAAATTATTTTAACACACTGTGCTTTATGTACACCAATATTTTTCGACCTCAGACATACCACATCAATGATAGGTATATCTGATTCTATCACATCTAGAATTTCTTCTTTTGTAAGGTTTGGGTCTACATCAAAAATTATTCCTTGTCTAAAAAGAACATATCTCGGTATATATGCTTTATATTTATTTTTATCTAGTACGTTACACTCTAAAAACTTGTTTGCTATTTTCGCATTTTTGAATTCTGGCTTTATTTTATTTATTCCTATAGAAGATATTTCCGCTATCCCAAATTTATAGTCAACTCCTGTATTGTATATTATTTTTCCCAGAGACATAGGATGTAGCCTACCTATATTCTTATCAATGGATTCAATATAAACAACAAATGGTCCTTTGTCGCATGCATCGAATCTTGCTGCATTATTGACAGTCTTAGGGATATTCAAATGACTTCCCATAGTGACCTCTTCACACACTTCTGAGCTACATTGCATATTAATACTATCCATGTCATTACTTGACTTACAATTATTGGGAATACTCTCCATATTAATTTCTTTGCTTGATTCCGAATTAACTTGTATATTAACATTATTCACACTATTATCTGACGTGATATTATTAAATTCACTGACCATATTAATTACCTCACACGATTTTGAATTACCTTGCGTGTGTTCACTAATCATACTATTGTCTATCATAGTATTGTTCACTCGTACTTCACTCGAATTACTTTGCACATTGATACTATTCATATCTTTACTATTATTTAAATTGTCGATACCAACAATTTTACCTCTTAAATAATTGACACTTCTTTTAAATATTTCTTCTCTAAAACTTTCTTTCGAATTTCTGTATGGTTTGCTTGATTTAACACTTTCTTTAATATTTCTATACGCTTTGCTTATTTTACCGGTACTACTCTTTTCCGACACTAATTTCCTCTCGCTACTATCAACACTAATTACATTTGCACACTCCAAATCCATGTTATTGTCTAAACACGTGTACATAGCTCCTGCAATCGTCGAACCAATCACAGAGCAATCGCTGCTGACGCTTGGGTCGGGCGGTCGCCCGACAATGCCGTCTGACTCGGCAGACATTACGTAAGATAGGCTTGAATTTATAGAAAATATTCGATGTGTACCGTATGGCTGTCTCGAACGAACTGACTTGTTAAGTTATTTGAAAGCAAAATACGTAACAAGAATTTCTTGAAAAAAGAGATTAATAAGATATTTTGCGAAGTTCTTTTGTGGTTTTAATGAAAAGAAATCTTATAGACGCGCGTGTATGATCACACAAGAACAAGAATAATAATCAATCTAATACAAATAGTTATGATAAAAAACAAATTCTAATAAAACTCACAGTGTCTGACATTATATATATATATATATATATATATATATATATATATATATATATATATCTTATATATAAAATTCTTCTGTAACAATGTAAGTTTCATAATTCCTCCTAAACTATAATTCGGATATTCATGAATCTTCCTGAAGTTTGTTCGGGAAATTTTCTAGAATGATTTGATTCATAGAAATATAGTTAGATTGTAGAAATAAATGGAAAAAATTATAAAAAACCGCTTATCATCGTTTGCCCTTGAAAATATTTGAAGCTTAGTTTGACATTAAAAACAATTGAAGACTGTCATTTGCCAAACATTTCTGTTCACTTATAGGCTAAGGCAATATTAAAATATAATAAATTCATGATTATGATTAAGGAGAATGTAATGTCTACATTATTAATGCCGAAAAGCAGCTGAGATGTGCCAAAAATTAAATTAATATAAGATGCAAATAATATAACATTCATGTGACAAGTGATGCAGTCTGCGCATGCGTCTGACGCGCACGGCGAATCGTGTTCTCAACGTACGCGTAATCATTTTGTCTGCGCACTTTGCGAACAGATCCGCCGTACGAATTCGTGCAAAGGAGCCATAACGCGCGGGTGTACTGGTTCTGGTTTCTTCAATTATTCAATGTGTTCCACAAATTTGATTTAAACCATATTTGCAGTACTAAAAGAGAAAACAATAAGCTTTTAAATAACGCTAATAATAAAGTAATTAAACAAAACGCACTATCCGAAAACATTAATTGAAAAATTATTTTATCCTTTTTAGCTAATAATAAACGATTATTTAGTATATTTTACTATACATTATGTGGTTTAAGCCAATATGAGTAGAATCACGTAATTTTTTTTTTCGATATCTTTTATGGTTACGCCAAAAATTGAGTTTGAAAAAGGGGCCACTTTGGCATATTTTCAATGATATCTCGGCCATAAGGTGAGATACAAAGTTGAAGTTTGGTATAACGGATATTTTCAAAATGACCTTCAAAATGGCGTATAAATTATTCAAATACAAGGGTATTAGTCAATTATGTATGGCAATGCGCCCACACCCTTGCGCGTCGTGACTATTATGTACTCGTCTGGCAGACCCTTGCAACCGTCAGAATGGGCTGGTTTTTTACATGTGCTTTCTGAACAGTTAAAAAAAGACACCTTCAAAATTTGAGCCTTGTGCGAGCAAGTTATAAAAAAATTTTTTTTTACATTTTCACAAATTGAAGGGATGATGACGCAACCGCGGAATGACTGCCAGAATGGTACTTTCTTAATGGGCCGATAATAAAATATCATTAAAAAAAATTCTGGCTTTGTGAAAACAGGTTAGTCAAATAGTTCACTGGCTCTTCTACTATAAGTGATTGCGCTCAAAAATATTAAATTTGCAGTCGTTTTGCCTTACTATACAAAGTCACAATACAAATAAAATTATTTAGAAGTTTCATTGTGTCAAAAATTCATATTATTGTCATTGGGTACGGAATATTTACTCAATGGAGCGCTTTCGGTCTGAACTTTTTTTACTCTTTTCCATTTCGTTTGGAATTTTGGAACTAGGTTCATCTTACTCTTCAGAAGTGAAAACAATTTAGACTCCTTTACCACTTCTCGGGTGGATGACATTTCTTTTCAGTGGTGTAATTTTACTTTTTTCAAAATAACGTTGGGTATCGATAAAAGAACTAATTATAAGAGAAAAATGTTTAATAATGTTTTCCAAAAAAGCAAACACGTTTCAAGTTACTGGCTACTGAAAATTTGTTTCTTTTTTGCGTTTTTCATCATTTTTTGTTAATATCTTCAGAAATATACATTTTAACGAAAATCATGTAATGAACAAAATTATATTAATTAAAATCCTAATAAATCGCTATTTTATAGTGTTTTGGGAACATTATTAGGCTAGATATGAAAATGGGTTTTTATAGTGCTCAAAATAAGCTTTAAAATAAGTACTTCTGCGTGTAAAATGAGTAAACTATCATGCAAATAAAAGACTCATATAATGTTTTTTCATTTAAATCAAATAGTTTGAGTGCCATTTCCACCAAATTAAAAAATAATCGTATTCCATCTAGAATTAACTTGGTTTAAGAGATCTTGGTGGATTCTCATGATTTCGTGAAAAAAAAACATTAAAAAAAAAACATCCAATTTCTCATTATAATATCTCTGAAAGAATACGTATAAAAGTATATATATATGAAAATTCGAGGTATTTTTCTGACTAATTATTGTTGTTTATTATTTTTTCATTACACAAATATTGATGGAGGTATTAATTAAGGATGCGCGGCTGTCCAACCAGAGGTCTTTCGAGC